CCGGCTTTTTTCTTATGTGGTGCTGAGGAATCGAACCCAGGGCCTCGAGCATGCAAGGCAAGTGCTCTACCACTGAGCCACCTTCCCAGCCCCTCCATGAGACTCTTATCTCCAATGAACCATCAGAAAACCGCAAGTGGTGCTGTGGCTCAAACAGTAGCGCGCTTGCTTGAGTTGAGGAGCTGAGGGACAGCGCCCAGGCCCAGAGTTCAAGCCCTTGATTGACAAAAAAAAAAGTTATTATAAAAGTGATTTACAGGGGGGTTACAGTTACATAGTCAGGTAATGAGTGCATTTCTTTTTGACAATGTCACTCCTTCCCTTGCTCTCTCGCAGTTTTGGGCCTAGTTTTTGAGGTTAAAAATGATTTTCTTCCAGGCACGTGCCAGTAGCTCACGCCTGTAATCCTAGCTTCTCAGGAGGCTGAGATCTGAGGATCACAGTTTAAAGCCAGCCTAGGAAGAAAAGTTTGTCAGACTCTTATCTCCAATTAACCTATTATTTATTTATTTAGTTTGTTTGTTTATTTTTGTGGCATTGGAGCTTGAACTCAAGGCCTTGTGCTGGTTAGGCAAACACTTGAACCATCCCCTAGTCCATTTAGTTTGTTTTTCAGACTGTGCATCAGGCTTTCTGCTCGGCTTGGCCCTGTCTGTGATCCTCCTACCTCTGCCTCGGTAGTTGGGATTACAGGCATGCAGTGCCATATTTATTTGCTTTTTGAGATAAGTTCTTTCTAGCCCCCGTCCCCCTTCCCTGCCCCCCCAATCCTGCACTGGCCCCAAACTGCCACCTTCCTCTCCTCCATCATATCCTAAATTCTCCACCTCCTCCCTGCCTCTGTCATCACACTGAGCTGTTTCCCTGCACTCTTTGCGGTGTTAGGAAGGGGGGATAGTTATGAAGGGGGACAGTTTTCCGAAGCCCTGGCTTCCCTGTGTGGTCAAAGCTCGGGCCCTGGGCCCGTCCAGCACCGAATGCTCACGCCGTTCTCTGCCTGCCCAGCGCGGAATGCTCACGCCGTTCTCTGCCCTGCTTTCCAGGAGTGTGAGGAGGAGCTGTATTCCTCCTGTCGCCAGCTGCGAAGGAGGCAGGAAGAACTCAACAACCAGCTCTTCTTATACGACACACACCAGAACCTGCGTAATGCCAACCGAGATGCTCTGGTGAAGGAGTTCAACGTCAACGAGAACCAGCTCCAGCTGTACCAGGACAGGTGCAACCGGAGGTGCGTGGGCCTCCCCCGCGGCCGGGCGCCTTCACAACTCTTTAGGCCTCTTCACTCTGTAAATGAATTGATAATGGTGCCTAAGTGCCCGCCCCTTCCCCAAGCCGAACTCTCTTCTCTAGAAGGACATTGCAGTGGAATCATGAAAATTAACCTTGATCCCTGACTTTATGTCCTTTGTGGTGGTGAGGATGGAGCCCAGGGCCTCATACATGCGAGGCATACACTCCAGCCCGAATGACCACTAACTTCTTTTTTCCTTTGTGTTGGTCCTGGGGCTTGAACTCCAGGCCTGAGTGCTGTCCCTGGACTTACTCAAGGCTAGCACTGAGCCACTGCTCCACTTCCAGCTTTTTCTGAGTAGTGTATTAGAGACAAGAGTCACACTAGCTGGACACTGGTGGCTCCCATCTGTAGTCCAAACTACTCAGGAGGCTGAGAGCTGAGGATCATGGTTTGAAGCCAGCCCAGGCAGGAAAGTCTGTGAGATTCTTCAATAACCACCAGAAAACCTGAAGTGGAGATGTGGCTTGAAGTGGTAGAGTGCTAGCTTTGAGCACAAAAGCTCAGGGACAGCACTCAGGCCCTGAGTTTAAGTCCCACAACTGACAAAAAAGAAACAAGAGTTTCAGGGACTTTCCTGTCTAGACTAGCTTTGAACCATGATCCTCAGCTTTAAGCCTTCTGAGTAGCTAAGATTACAGATGTGAGCCACCAGTGCCCAGCTGACCATTAACTTCTTTAAAAATTTTATTGTCTGTCATGGAGCTTGAACTCTGGGCCTGGGCACTGCCCTCAGCTCTTCAGCTCAAGGCTAGCACTCTGCCACTTGAGCCTCAGCGCCCACTTCTGGCTTTTTCTGTGCATGTGGTGCTGAGGAATCAAACCCAGGGCCTCATGCATGCGAGGCAAGCGCTCCACCACTGAGCCACCTTCCCAGCCCCCTGACTATGAACTTTTAATGAGTCTTTATTAAATCCCCAAGAATGGGCTAGTTTAGCAGATCAAAATCAGGACAGAAACTTCCCCCTTCCAGGTTGTACCCCAGGTATGACGGGAGAAGATGCAGCCAGGGCCCTGTGTGCCTCACAAGGTACCAGTAGGTTCCAAACAACCAACCTGATACTGACAGCCATCTATCAGCCTAAGTCAGCATAACCTCTATTTTACCCAGGAAGAGGCTGAACCTCTGGGAGACTCCATATCTTACCAAGGCCTGAGAGCTCTCCCAAGCACCCGCCTCTCAGTCCTGTACCGTCCAGCCATCCGTTGCCTACCAGTGTGTGGCTGGGAAGGGGTAGCTAGGACAGAGCCCGTATCTCACACCCTGCTGATGGTGTTCAATCTGCTTCCGTTTCAGGCTGCGAGAGAAGAGGGTCAGCAACAGCAAGTTTTACTCATAGAAGCGGAGGTGCGCGTGTGAGGCGGATGGGTGTGTGCGGATGGGCGAATGTGCTGTTCAGCCTCGGGGGTGGGGCACCTGCCATGCTGCCTTCCACCTGTGATGCCAACGGACCATATGACCAAGGATCCGGGGTGATCTCCTGGTTTTTCCACCTTGGACTTTTTTTTTTTTTGTAACTTATATTCTTTATAGAGGATCCCTAAACTGTGTCTGTCATGGTGTGTGACCTCTCGTGTTCCAACCGCATTGAATAAAGCACAGGCAGTCTTGGTCAGTTCAGTCTTCTCTGCGTCACCTAGACAATGAGTTCTTTTCTAATTGGCAAGATTCTGCAACAACCTAGGCGATTGACTCCCTCAGCAGAGGAACCAGAGATGTAAGAAATGATTCTGAAAAGCATTGTAACTAAAAAGGTGCATGCTGCCGCTATTAAGGCCATTGGATTCCACAGAAGCCTAAAGAGGAGACGTGCTGCTGCCGTCAGAGGACGCGGCTCGCTGCGTGAGCTGCCACCTGGGGCTGGCTGGCTAGACTGACCTGCCTGGACCTGCAGACCACAAGAAATGCTCAGAGAAAGCGGTGGGCTGTCCGTTAGGGCAGTTTTATCGTAAGTGGTGGAGGCTTGCTTTGTGACTTGATAGTGGGCTTGCTGGGTGGAAATCTTGGGGGCCTCTGTTTTACAAAGCCAGTCGGAGCAGGGAGCGGCTGACGATGCAGCCGCCGTCCCGGCTCCCGTGGCTCTGCCTGCCCCTGTTCATCTCACGACAGCCCAACGGAGCTGGCCAGAGGCTGCTGCGGAGGCCTCAGGGCCACAGCCCGGAGTCCGTTGCTGGTTTAACAGGCTAGATGAAAGGTAGGTTGACTGGGGGATTTCTGTTGGTTATCCAATTCTCTGGGGCAGCAGACTGAGCTTTAGTGGCGTAAGTCTTAGGGGGTTATGGCAAATGCCAGAGGCAGTCCTTCCCGGAGCGCCCAGCCCCCCTCTCTTCCCCGTTCATGATTATTTAGTAGTTGGATGAGGCTCTGACACTTCTACCATTCAGTGATTTAAAAAGTTCTCCAAAATGCTGGGATTGGCCCATGTGTACTGCCAGGGAGCCAATGAGAGCAAATTAAGCTCTGCCTGGCCGAAAGGCTCCAATCTTTCATCCCACAAAAAAGTGCTGAGTTAGGAGCTGGGAAGGTGGCTCAGTGGTAGAGTGTTTGCCTTGCATGCATGAGGCCCTGAGTTCGATTCCTTAGTACCCCATAAGCAGAAATAAAAAGGACGTGGCACTGTGGCTCAAGTGGTAGAGTGCTCACCTTGAGCTGAAGAGCTGAGGGACATCACCTGGGCCCAGAGTTCAGGCCCCACCACTGGCCAAAAACAAAATATTCTGAGTCCCTATTGCCATAGGCCACGTGTATGTGGAGGTGTTTGGACCAGGAGGAAAGGCCACCTGTATCCATGGCCCACTCTAGCCACAGAGCCAGGACCAAGGTGACAGATCAGACGATGTTACTTTCCATTTCTCATCAGGAGTTACTGCTCCACTTAGCAGCCAGCAGCCAAGAAGAGTGTTCTAGTAACCAGTGTGCAAAGGACCCTTCGAGAAGGGTTGGCTGGAAAGGCACCACACAGAAGGCTGGAGAAAAAGAAGTGTAGGCGGTGCTCTATTGGCCGGGGCCAGGTAGTGACGAGAGCCTATTCCCACACATGGCAATGTAGGCTGGAGGCATGGCTCAGTGGTAGAGTTTAAACAAAACAAAACTAAAGGATGTTGCTGAGCCCGGTGCCTGTAATCCTAGCTACTTGAGAGGCTGAGATACGAAGATTGAAGTTGGAAGCCAACCTGGGCAGACAGATCTGAGAAACTATCTCCAATTAACCAGGCAAAATCCTGCAAGTGGAGGTGGGTCTCCAGTAGAAAAGCTCCATCTTTTTTTTTTTTTTTTGGTTGGTCATGGGGCTTGAATCTGGGCTTTGGTGCTGTCTCTGCGCTTGCGCCACAGCGCCACTTCTGGTTTTCTAGTGGTTTATTGGAGATAAGAGTTTCACGGACTTTCCTGCCCGGGCTGGCTTTGAACCACAATCCTCAGATCTCAGCCTCCTGAGTGGCTAGGATTACAGGTGTGAACTACTTGTGCCTAGTGAAAAGCTCCATCTTTGAGTGAAAAAGCCAAGTGAGAGCTCAAGGCTGAGCTGAAGCTGGAGAACCAGCTGGAAGGAGGAGAGGAATAGGAAGAGGAGAAAAAAATGTATTTAAAAATGCAGTATCAACAGCAACCCCCCTTTTGGCTTTTGCATTTATTTACCATGAAACATTTTTGGTATTAGTTTTAGAGATGTACACAGGGCTACACAATTTTCACATAAGGAGGTATCTAAATGTAACTGTTTAAGATCACGGATCTAGGGGTCACCAAAGGAAGAATTATTTGAAAGCAAGCCTTTTCACCTTAAAGAAATATAACTTCACCTTTAGCTTATGTGACATTTAGCTTTTTGAAGGCAACCTTAAAAGCCCTATTTGAATCCATAATTAGATTCAGAAATAAGAGAATCATGAATTTGGCTTTTAAGAATGATGCAGTGATTTGTCCTAGGTTTCTCTTCATCTTCCTGTTGCTTGTCAACTTGCAGTGCTGGGATCACAATGAGGGCCTTGTGCATCCTGGACAAGGATCCGTCCCCAACCCTTTGACCCGGGTTGGTAATTTTCAAATAGTCCTTCGAAGAGCCACATTTGAAATCTCCATATTTCTTATTGGCTGTATTTGTAAACTCCTGTTTAGTTATTAAAGCTTAATTTATATAAATAGTGTTTGTGTGTACATAGAAAATTAAATAGTTGTATCACACTTAAAAATATAATAAGAGGGGCTGGGGATGTGGCTCAGTGGTAGAGCGCTTGCCTTGCATGCCTGAGGCCCTGGGTTTGATTCCTCAGCACCACATAAGCAAAAAGAAAAAAGCCGGAAGTGGTGCTGTGGCTCAAGTGGTAGAGCGCTAGCCTTGAGCTGAAGAGCTGAGGGACAGTGCCCAGGCCCAGAGTTCAGGCCCCACGACCGGACCCCCCCAAATATTATATATATATATATATATATATATATATAATAAGAGTGCTCTGTATGAGCAGCCAGTATTCTGCCCAGAATTTAAAAAAAAAACCTGATGTTTGCATTTTAAGATCCTAGATGAAAGAAAGAAGTAATTCAGCCATGAGATGTGTGTCTCTGTATATCATGCTTACAAATCTCCACTTTTTAAATGGATATTTTTTATCGTAAAGATACTGTACAAAGGGGTTACAGTGACGTCAGTAAGGCAATGAGTACATTTCCTATCGAGCATTGTGATCCCGCCTTTGTTTTGCCCTTACTGTCCCTTCCTTCCCCACCTCCCCAGTTCCCCCCGCCACCTGAATCTGTAAAGTTCATTTTCAGCATTCTGTCTTGTGCATCTCATTGTTACAATGGTTCAACCTGTATCCTTATTTCAGCATTTTGTTATTTCCCTTCCTCTCCCCACATTAGAAATATATATATATATATGTGTGTGTGTGTGTGTGTGTGTGTGTATATATATATATATATATATATATATGATGCAGGGCACAGGAATCAAATACAGTGAAAATGAGTTATACCATGGGGGAAGAACATGCAAAAAGAAACAAAAAAGAATCACACAGTAAATTAAAAACAACAACAACAAAGATAAAACCTTTTGTGTCCCTATCGTGGGGTTCATTTCGCTCAGCATCATCTTGTGTGGTTATGGGTACATAGCTTTTGACCTTCTCTGCTTGTCCTAGACATATACGAATTATTGCAAATAAGGGAAACCATGGGACCTACGTTTCTTTTCTCCACTTTTTTTTTGTTTAAACAAGAGTTTACTATGTAGAAACTCAGTTATAAAATTAATCAGTCCATCACCATTTGGAAGGATGTTTGGGCTGCGAGGAAGCACGCTGTTGCTAGCTACTGTCCTTCTCAGGACTGACGGGTCACACCGCCTGCCACTCGCTGCCTTTTCCCAGAGGGTTCCTAGAAAGCCAGGCCCTGAGCCGGTGTTCACCTCGACACCCATGAGTCACCGCAGCCCTCAGACAGGGCCGCGCAGGACACACCTCTGACTTACAAGGTACACAAGGAGTCAGGAAAAGCCAAGAGGAAACGAGAGCTGATAAGTGATCATTAAAAAACTGATTACAGCTGTAACTCCACACTACAACAGGAACGTGTGGAGAATTCCATTGAGCTCATTAACGGGCCAACAAACTGTTGCAACTGGTTCCAAGACAAATTCCAGAGAAGACAGACACAGCCAGGGCTGCCCAGAGCCCCTGACCTCCGGGGCCTCTGCTCCGGTTGCTGTGGGAGGGACTCAAAGGATTCCTGTCCGTACACAGACTGGCCTGTGGAGAGCCGGCAGGCCAGCCTTAACTTGGGACTTCATCGCTAGCTTTGTTGTCGGTGTGGTTATTCACATCGGGATCACCAGTGGACTTGAATTCCGACCCTTCCCTCACCCCCCACGCATGAGCCCCAGGTGGGGAGAAAAGCAAGATGGCCCCACGGCGGCTCCAGCACTGGCACGCTCTTCCTCAAAAACAACCAAACGGTACGTGCGCGGCTGCAGGCAGGGGAGATGATGGGGACTGATACTGGAACACAACAGAAAGACGGGAACCTTGCAAAATTCAGAGAGCTGGGCAACAGTGTCATAGAAAAACAAAACGTGTCACCTGCCACCACCGTGCTCCACAGCTCGGGGTGGGAGAGGCTCCTGGCAAGGGGGTGGAGGTGATAGAATCCCCCCAAAATGCCCTGCATAGACACAGGCAGTCTATCTGTCAAAAGCATATGGCCCAGATAGAAAAGGGGCCTGAACTCTGCACACTAGTCTGCTGGCTGACACGAACTACCATTGGATGCTGTTATTCCTACCTGGGCATTTGTCTAAAGTAACTGTTAAATCCTTGTAGAGGGGAGGTCCGTGCACATGTGTTTATAGGAGCAATATTCCTAGCAGGCAAAATGTAGGGCAGCTCTCTCTCTTTCTCTCTCTCTTGAATCTAGACCTCAGGAAGTGAAGGACAGAAGTGTAAAATGGGGACTTTAGGGGTGTGGGAGCCAGTAGGGTTCAAGATTGAACGGGTGAATATAACCAAAATGCTATATATATATATGAAACTAGAATAATGAGGCTCAGGGACAGTGCCAGGCCCCAGGTTCAAGCCTCAGGACCAGCACACACACAAAGAAAAGAAAATAGAATAATGAAGCTTGTT